CCGTGACCCCTGCCTGGCCAAGGTCGCCGAGGGGGCAGTAACTGTGGCGGGGGTCATGTGCAGATACGGCGCTCTGGAGCAGCGCGGCGGGGCGACGTCGACGTCACGGCCACGCGGTGCAGGCCAAGCAGGCCGGCAGGGCCGAGGGCAGGGCGGCCAGCGAAACGCGTCCGTCCGCCACTTGGCCGGCGGGCCCTTCGCGCCCCGCGACGCCCCGCGACGCCCCGCGACGGCCGTCTCATGACCGACAGCAGACTGATTCCGAGAGCCGTCGCTCTGTCTCTCTCGCACTCATGGGGCGTCCCCTCGAGCGACGAAAACGACTCAGGCTGCTGGCGGAAGCGGACAACCGGCAAAACAAGCAACAAAGCCTCATTGGCGCGCCAAATTTCGGAATAATAAAACTTGTTGTTGGCCGCCGCGCCGCCGCCGCCTTGGCGCAGGAAGTGAGGCTCTGTGACGGGGCGGCTCGGGCCGGCCCAATGGGGCGGACGCGCCGCGTTAGTCGCGTTATGCTAGTCTCGTTTCCATTCCCATTCTCGTTTCGCGTTTCGCCCATTTCCTTCAACTGTCTGGGGCTTTATGCAGACAGACTGCCCGCACGGCGTTTTCGGGCGCGGAATTTCAAACAGCCGAATTTGACCTCCTCGCCGTCCTCTGGGAGAGCGGGCGGCTCCCGCGACGCCACCCGCATGCGACGACGGCGTCCTGGACTGCCAAACGCGTCTAGAGTTTTGACCGCCTCCGCCGGCCTTCCGGCCCACTGCACGCGCGTCGCCGCCCTGCAGGCGGAGCACGCCGTCGGCCACGCGGGCGGCGCGTGCCTCCCGGTGACGCCGCCGACCGCCGACCACGCCGACGACGACGCGCGCCTCCCCGCCCCGCCGCGACGACGTGGCCGCAAAAATGCCGCTCGCGGCAGACTGAGTCCGTGAGTCGCCCCGTCTCTCTCGCACTCGTGGGGCGTATCCCAAGGGCGCGAGAGAGACAGAGCGGCGAAAGCGACTCTCGGAATCAGTCTGCTGATAGCGAGCGCACGCAATTGGGGGCTCTGCTGTGTTCCTCATCCACGTTGGCGCCTCATGCGAGAGAGAGAGAGAGAGATTATTTATTTACCGCATGGTGGCGCTTTGCACGTCTGCCGTATCACGATGAGCAGCTCTCTGCTGGATTTGCTCTGTACTCCCCACTCCTCTGTGCCATGCGACAGAAGCACCACAACGACAGCATGACCCAAGACGCGAAAATGAAAGTCGGGCGCCCCGCGGGCCCGGGTTCGAGTACCACCGCCACCAAAAGGGTGCCAATGCCGTTTTCCCTCCAGTGGTGTCGCCGGCCCGTCGGCCGACTGGACAACGGCGTCGTTCGTGACGCTCCAAGTGATGGAACGGCCCTCATCAAGGCTCTCACACTGGAAGGGAAAAAAGGAGGAGCGCGCTGCCCGACCGGCTGAGGCACTGTGGCACTACTCCACGCCTGATTGGCGCCAATTGGCAACGCTACAGTGCCGTGGTACCACGTGGTACCAAGGCGACGGTGGCGCCCTCCCCCTGGCCGCGGAGGACGAGGGGGGAGGACGACCTCGACGTGAACGATTTTCGTCAAAATTTGGCCCATTTCGGTCTCAAGATGACATTATGTCGACACCTGTTGTCCTTGGAGCCAGGCGAACGACACCACGACGGCCTCTCTTTTACCAACATTTTGCAATGTGTGCGGTGGTGCTACTGGTTATTATCAGCCCCTGCTCCCCAGAGTACAGAGTAACCCCCTTTGAGTCCCGCTTTCCTCGACATTCGCGTGTCACTCTCTCTCTCTCTCTCTCTCTCTCTCTCTCTCTCTCTCTCTCTCTCTCTCTCTCTCTCTCGTGTGTGTGTGTGTGTGTGTGTGTGTGCATTTTCTTGTGGCGTGCGATTTCCTTATCTGACGCGCGAGCAGACGGGGCCACTGCTGCAAACACCGGCAATAAAAAACTAAGCGCATCACTCCCCGCGCGTATGGCACACTGTATGGCACAGTCAGCGCGTGTAACGGGCACGCACCAAACAGTGCCTCTCTCTCTCTCTCTCTCTCTCTCTCTCTCTCTCTCTCTCTCTCTCTCTCTCTCTCTCTCTCTCTCTCTCTCTCTCTCTCTGGTCCATGGGGCGTGAGGGTGCGAGAGAGACAGCGCGCAGTCACCCTGCAGTAATGCCTCACGTGTCCGTTGCTCCGCGAGGTGGCCGTCGACGCGGTGGTCGCGGTGGACGCGGTCCAGAGTCAACCCCTACAGTGGATCGGCCGGCTCGGCGCTCGGCGGCGCGCGGAGCTGGCGGACTTTGGACCGGCGGCACTGCACCTGCAGACTCGTTCTCTGTCTCTGTCGCACTCACGGGCCGTTGCGAAGGGGTGCGAGAGAGACGGGCAATCTTTTTCGGATCGGCTCGGCTCGCGGCGACATTCCCGACGCGGGTGAAGCACGGCAGCGTTCTGAGCGAGTCATGCGATGCGAAGCGAGCGAAGGGACGAATCCAACGTTTGAAGCGACTCTCTGAGGCGCCTGGCGGGGCAGTGTGCGCCTTTTCCTCCTTGGCGCCGGAACTGCCGTGGTTGCGTTTGGATCAAAACAAAGCGGCGCCGAAACGACAAACCCGAAAACAACTCAGCCTCCTCCTAGAACCAAACCCCGCGCGCGCGTGCGCCGCGAATCTTTTTTTTACGGCCCGTCTTTACGATGGAGAGTCCGACCCGTGTCCGGTCTAGGCCGCCCAGGCCGCCCAGGCCGCGCCACGCTAAGACGCAGCGACTTTCCACAAAAGCGCGCCAAACAAACACTACGCCGGCCATAACTTTGGATTTCCCGCCTGTTTTTCGGCGAAGCCCGACGCCATTCTGCAGAGCGCACCTCGCGCCTCCCCAGGGCGCCACCCGATACACACTTCATGGCTTCGGCGAGTGCCAAACGGGCGCCCAATAATATTTACCAGTGGCGTCGGCGGAAAGGGGGAAATGAGTCATACTCGAACAACAACAACAACAGCCGACGACTTCATTTTAAATGGAATTCGCCGATTAATGGCTATCATCGGAGTACTTAATGCGCAGATAGCGGCGGCACAGTGGCACACCTGCAACGCTTCCGTCGTCTGGCGGCCATTTCCTGTCATTAAATGAAACTCACTCACTCACGCACTCACTCATTCACTGTGCAATGAGAGTCATGCGAATTTCTCATACAGCCCCCTCTAATCGCGACACACACGAGGTGACAGCGGTCAAATTGAGGTTAACTGGCGGTCAGAAATGTGACTGGTGTTTGCGCGACGGCGCGATGGTGCACGCGGTCGCCACGTGAGCGCGCCCTAGCCGAGCGCCTTTTGCGCCATCCGGAGCGTGTCTCGAACTAAATGAAGCACGACGTGGCGGACCGGACCACGTGACTTGCGCACTCGCTCACTCACTCACTAGTCGCTAATGGGCACCAAACATGCCGTCCCATGGGTCAGAGCAAAGCGTGCCCTAGGCACCACAACATATTTGTTTTCGATTTGAATGAACGACCAAAACATTTAATTAGAAAGTGTACGACCAGAAAAAATGCAAAAGAACAAGAACAAAGTAAAAGAAGAGAAGGTGGGCTTTGTCAGCGTGCCCTTGGCACAACAGAATTTTCGTTTCCAATTGAAGGAGCAACAACGAAAAACAAAACAAAATAGAAAATAAACGATGAAAGAGCGAAAGAGAGAAGGTTTGACTTCGCTCTCCTCCAGGCGCCGAACGTCACCGCCTTATGCAACGCAGCGGTAATTGCACACTGGTAAAGCGATTCGCCACACAGATACCAACAGACAAGTCAGTCTTGGACGTCCGACGAAACGGATTCGGATGGACTGCGATTTGGACGTGTACTAATTGAGGCCAGTTCGAGCAACCTGGGATCCCAGTGCTCACCAGGAAGCAGGAAAACGGGTACGCATTTTGATGAGTATGGGTCCGTCGCGGGTGTGGGCTGTGCGTGTGTGTCTGTGTGTGTGTGGTATCTGTGTGCGTGCGCTAGATCGTGTGCCAAAGCTCTTGGGGGGTCTAGACATAGTACAGCTGGCACGGATATGGACTTTAGAGCTGCGTCTGGTGTAATATCAAGAGTTGGTCCGTCAAAATCTGGCGGATTTTTTTTTTTTTAAGGCCGGTGGAGTCTGATGCACCGCTAAGGTCGCTTCGAAGAGCTCGTGACTGGAAAAACTCCGTCATGTGGCTTTACAGCGCGGTATGGCCTGTGTCTCCGTCTCTCTCGCTCGCACGGGGCATCAGGGCGCGAGAGAGACGGAGCGACGAATGGTGCTGGCAATCTATTGCTCGGTGAGTTACTGCGGCATTTAACGTCGGTGAACGCGAACAATGCATGGCGAAGCGAAGCAGCGAAGCCTGGCGCGAGACAGCGTCACCTAACCTGTAAATCGCACGCCGCCGGCACGCCGTCATCGAATCTGTCCTTGTCCCTCCTTTTTTAACGGCCATATTGTTTTTGTTATGCAGCGAGGAACAATAATTTTCCACAGAAAAGCCAACGCCTTCGCACGAAGGTTGAACCTCTTGGAACCACACGTGCGAAAAATATTGGAATGTTTACTCCTGGAAAGTGAGGCTGTGAAAAACAATGGAGGACGAATCAACGACCTGCAGGAACCTGGTTCGAACACACGTGGGCTTCGTAAACACGGTCTCGAGGCCGCGCCACTGGACATTCTTGTTGTTGATGATGTTGTTTCGGAGGAGACCACGAATCTGCTAAGATAACACCAGCCGAACAGCCTACTCGGAACGCTAGCTGCAATTTAGATTAAATTACCTTCGTGTCGCGTACGACGGAAAGTTTGGCTGGCCGTACTTTGACTTTGTGCACCACACTGCTCTCTCACGACCATAAATACCACAGAGATACCCTTTCTTCGCTATCAGGGCAGCTGTTACACCATAGAAAAACAACCGAGTTTTTGAAAAATGGTAAAAATGGTAATAAATACCTTATAGTAACTGCGAGCAACACGATGATGAGGCCCACCAGGACCATGGCAATCAGGACCCCACATACTATGTACACGCTGTCGCTGATCGGCGCATCTGAAAAAACAAAAAACAAAAACAATTAAAATTCAACCTTTTTTTTAAATCGACACTTAGTATAGAGTAGTGCGTGCCGAACTGCAATGTGCTGCCGAACGGCGGCGCGTGCGCGGCGCGAATACGAATCCGAATACGTCCGCATGCCTTTCCGGGTTCACGTTCGAGCCGCGGCTTGGAGGCGCTTGGAGGCCACAGACACTTCGCAGTGTCATGTCATGCCGCCGCGGCGCATCGCCTCGTCTCGCCTCGCCTCGCCCCGCATCGCGCGGTCGCCAATCGCTCAGCCATCCTCACGCCGATATGCGCGCGCACACACACACACACACACACACAGCGAAATGGTGCTGCCAAGCACCTTGTGACCCTTGACTCGCAGCTGTGTGTGTGTGTGAGTTGGCCCACCTGCTTTTGGCAGCCGGGCGAGCGACCGGGCCAGGCCGCGGTGTGTGCGGGGACCGTGAACGGACCCTGAAACGGCCATTCAAACATAGTCCTGCCCCCCCCCCCCCCCCCAAACGGCAGCCCAAGCCAACGGGCGGTCGAGGGTCAGTCACCTATCGGCTTTCAGCACTGGTAGGGGCACTCTACGTACGAGTTTCCATGCCGAGCCGCGCCACGCGAGTGTCCCTGACATGCACCATCGGCGAGACGGGGCGCCCGGGGTGCCGACACGCCGCGAAATTCAGTCTCCAAACATGACTCGGCTAGAGAGGAGAGATTAGGAGGCGGCAAAGTACAGGGCAAACAACGCGACGGGAGGTGGTGTGTGTGTGTGTGTGCTTTTGCAAAAGTTAATTTTAGGCACGGGCGCGCTTACGTAACACTTTTGTTTTTTTGCCCTACGCGGCGGAGAGAGAGAGAGAGAGAGAGAGAGAGAGAGAGAGAGAGAGAGAGAGAGAGAGAGAGAGAGAGAGAGAGAACACCCTGTCCTGGATCCGCGCCTGACGCGGGCACGCGCACAGACGCGGGCCAGAGCACCGTACCTGCAGTTGACCACGTGGCGGCGGCGTGCTCGGACCAGCCTAGCCAGGGTCCTACCCACGCGCAGCCCCAGTCGGGTCCAGAAGCTGTTGTTGTTGTCGTTGAGGTGGGCCGACGTGCCCCACGACGCGCCGCACAGGCGGCACGGGCAGCACGCCTTGCACATGGTCGTGCTCGTGGTCGGCGTCGTGCCGCCAGCACGTGGCCGTCGAACCGGGCCTCCTGCCCGGCGCAAAAATGACGCGGACCTCGGCGACGCGGCCGGGGTGATGCCGCAGCACGTGGCCGTCGGACGGGGCCTTCCGGGAACTGCCACTGGCGCGCGGCGACGCGTTCGACGCGGACCTCGACGACGCGGGCCTCGGGGGTGACTTTGGCGGTGGTGTGGTGCGCGTCCCTCGGCGCCGACGCAACGCTACGCAACGCCGGCCCCGGACAGCGCGGCCCGGCCGACGGCCAGCACAGCGCGTCGTCGCTCTGTCTCTCTCGCACCCGCGCGGGGCGCCCCATGAGTGCGAGAGAGACGCCTCTCGGAATGGAGGCCGCGGCCGAAACGAGTCGACTTCTCGCTCGCACTCCTCGACCGCCGCGGCGGAGCGACAGAGGCGGCACGTCGCCGCCGGTGCAGTTTCCGGACGCGGTGGCGCGATATTTGAATAAGTCGGCACTTTCGGAGGCTGGCCGCGGCTAGCCGGGCCTGCGCTGCCGTTTTGCACCGCTTCGCAACGCTTTGCTGGTGGCGTGGTGCGTGCTGGTGTTGCCACGGTGGCGGCGGTGGCCGCGAAGGCGGGCGCCACCAGGGCCAGCAGTCTGTCTCTCTCGCACCCATGGGGCCCTGCATATCGGTGCGAGAGAGACAGACGGACGGTCGTGCTGTCCAGCGGCCAGCCGGCAGCCCGCAGCCTCAGCAGGTTCGTCCCTCCGCGACGACGAGCGTCCGAACGCCCGAACTCCGAACGGACTAGCCTGGCCAGGACGAGCCGGCCCCAACCCGAGCCGGCTCGCCGCGCAACCCGACCCCCGTGCGAAGTGCGAGCGCCCGTCCGGCAGGGCGCCACCTTTCTTCTGCAGCGCTGCTTTCACGGAGCATCGCTCCCATTCATATCGCCGCGTTTCAAAAAATCGGAGCGCGCAGTGACGCAGTCGCCGGTTCGACGAATTTGACGGTGTGCCGCTGCCGCCCGTCCAGGGGCGGATCAAGGGACGGATTCAGGGGGGGGGGCATGTCGCGAAAGTTACCTTACCTACCTACCGAGGTAAAGTGCCCCCCCCCCCCCCCCCACCGGGCAAGTCGCCGCCAGGAGAGGGCGCCACCGAACAACCGACCAGAGCGACAATAGAGGGAGAGAGAGAGAGAGAGAGAGAGAGAGAGAGAGAGAGAGAGAGAGAGAGAGAGAGAGAGAGGCGGGCCCTGGCCTACATCCGCGGCCAATAAGTCACGGCACACGTGGAAGGGGTGCAGGCCGTGCAGGCGTCGCCGTGCAGCGGCAGCAACGCCCAGCCATCCCGCCTTCCTGCAGCCCGTTGGGCCCTCCCCGTCTGCGAGCCGTCTTCGTCGCTCCGTCTCTCTCGCACTCGAGGGGCGTCCCGTGTGGGTGCGAGAGAGACAGAGCGACGACTCGGCATGAGCCTGCAGGCCGAGCCAGGCCAGGAGCGAGCCTGGCGGCAATGCCTGGCGGCAATGCCTGGCGCGTGCAGAGGTCACGCGACACCAGCGCCCCCTGTTTTCCAGTGGCGGCCGTCGGCGGAACCAACCGGCGTGTGAGTCATGGTGTGCAGTGTAGCGGCTCGCGCGAAGCGACGGTTGCGCGCTCGCTGCAATCTGCTGTCGTTGTCGCTCTGTCTCTCTCGCACCCCTGTACGGCGCGCGGCACGGGTGCGAGAGAGAGCGGGCAGTGTTTGGAACCGCTTGCACTGCGAAGCCCGCGCCAATTTCGCGAGTTCGGAGGAAGTGGAATCGACGCTATTGCGCAAGCCTAATTGTTTTCCTCCGAAAAACAGCGAGAGCTCTTTCTCATTTCTCAATCGAGCAGCGAGCATCGAAGCCTCCCGGATCGCTTGGGCAAGCCCCCGGCGAGCCCCCGCACCGCGCGACCCCTCGGCGGCCGAACATTGTTTGCCGTTCTTATAAATAGACTGCATATTATTCCGATGGCGCTGGTCGCCGACCGGTAAGGCTCCTTATCGTCCCCGAGGGTGACCTGCCGACTGACTCCGAGAGTCGTGCTCGTCGCTCTGTCTCCCTCGCACCCACACGGGACGCCCCATGAGTGCGAGAGAGACAGAGCGACCAGGGCGACTCTCAGCTTCTTGGCTTGGTTGTCCCTGTTTTTTTCAGCAGACCGGTCGCGCATAGAAACAGCCTGCCGCCCACAACCCACAATCGCAACGGGGTGAAAAGAACGGCAATCATTGAAAAACGAAAACAAATGAAAAACTTTCGGGGCGAGTTCGGCCGGCCGCGTGGGTGACCTGCACTGTAACACGGTTGGCGGGTCGTGCGGATTGCGACAAGCACCCTCGGCGCTCTTGTGCATTTGCCTGGGACTCCTGGTGGCGGAGACAAGGATTTCCTTTTGAGGCTTTGCCTGACGATTACAGGACGCACGCTCCTCTCCTAGTCTTGCCACGACCATTTACTCGATGACAGACTTCCCGCCGCAGAGGTGACCCGCGTGGTAATCGCGAAGACGGCGAAGACGATGCCAGGAAAGCAGGAAAGTTTGGGCAATAAAATGATAAAATGCGCCCGCCTTCTTGATCGACAGCCCTGCAAGTCATACCAGTGTAGGGTCCTCGCGTCGCCCCACTGTGGGGCTCGCTGGGGCGGCGCGGGCGGCGAGGCACGAGCCACGAGCCGCACCGCTATCAGGCGGCCGTAATTTTTACAACACAAGTAATTGGCGTGGCTGGGGACTTTCCTCCTGATGCCCTAGAGATAAAAGCCGGCGTCGGAGTATACGTTGCACTTTTGCAGCCCGAGTGGCATTGTCGAATAAAATACGCTTGAAAATCGCATTTGAAAACTGCAAAGAAAAGTCTAGGATTGAGATTCAAACAAAATTGATACCAGATAAATTGGTGTCGTTTCGAAACTATTGCCGATCCGAAATATTATAAAAACCGTGTTTTTTTGGAGGAGGGGGTGTTTGTATTATCCATTGAAAGTGTATTACTAACTCGACAAAAAACGAAAATCTCGGCGAAAACTCGCCACTTTGTTAGTAGAGGTCGCGACTTTCCCGGGCTTTCCAGCCGGCGCGGCGTGCAGGTCAGTGTGACGTACACTGCAAGCGCTGCAAGCAGGGCCCCGTGACGTCATCGCGTCACCCGCTTTCTGGAGAGCCTCACTGCGCGCGCAAATGGACCGACTTCGCAGCCAACATGACCAGCAAGCAGACCGATTCCGAGAGTCGTCGCTCTGTCTCTCTCGCACTCACGGGGCTTCCCCCACGGGCGCGAGAGAGACGGAATCGGTCCGCAAGTAGTGCCCACGGCGCCAGTGACGTCACTGCCCTCCGATAAGATAAGCGATTCGACCGTTGGCGTCGCCTTGACAACCAATCAGGGGCCCGGCCTGCCCGGCTGGCCCGACCGGCCACGGGAAAGAGACCGGCCCGGCCCTGACCTATCATAACCTCAAAACGGCGGCAAAACCCGCGCGGCGGCAGCGCGGCAGGCCAAAGCCAGGCCGCGCCAGGCCCCCCGCAGGGCAGGCAACCTTTGGGCAACCTCGCCGCAAATAATTTGCAAGTCTCAGCGGCGTCGTGGAGGTTGGCGGCCCTGCACCGCGCGCGCGAAATGCGTTGCCACTTTTCGCACATAGGCATTGACGTATTTGAGCTGCTGTAAGTTATGTGCAAATTTCTACATAAATTGGGTACAATTTTAGGAGAACTAGACGTCCATAGCGAGGCGTTTGCCAAGGCCACACTTGAGCGCTGAGCTGCCCCCGTGGGTGCGAGAGAGACAGAGCGACGAAAGGCTCTCGGATTGAGCCCGCTGGCCGACGGCGG